TCTGATCAACGTGACATTGTATTGCGACTCCAAGGTGGTCAGCTTCGCCGCATCAGCCAGCTCAGTCATGCCTATTCCACCCTTCATTATGTCCTCATGTTTCCTTCTGGTGAGGAGGGATGGCATCTTGACATTCCTCTCCGTCCCCCTGAGGGTGGTCGTGGTCGTGCAAAAAAGTCACCCAGCTGCTGTATTATGGCTATCGCCTTCACATCCGTCCACCTGCAATCGAGCCTGACAACATCTTTCGTGCAGGACGACTCTTCCAGCAGTATGTGGTTGATGCTTGGGCTACTATCGAGCAAGGCAATTTGAACTGGATCAAAACCAACCAGAAGAAGCTCAGGGCGACTGCTACAGAGGCTTGACAGATAATGTCCTCAATGATGGCATTGATGATCTGGCTGAGACAGGGCGTTCCTTCATCCTTCCTTCCTCTCATAGTGGAGGTCCTCGCTATATGTATCAACTCCTTCAAGACTCCTTGGCTATATGTCGTGCATGCAAAAAACCAGACCTATTCCTCACCATGACTGCAAATGGGAGTTGGCCTGAGATTGCTGACAATCTTCTTCCAGGTCAGTTCGCATTTTTGCCTTATTGATGTTTCATTGCTGATCAGTCATAAAGGTCAGACTGCTGTTGATCGTCCAGACTTGGTGGCTCGAGTGTTTATCTCAGCAGGCCCTCTTGAAGAAGGTTCGCGATGGCTTCTATGGAAAGGTCGCTGGATTGGTGTACACCATCGAATATCAGAAGCGTGGTCTCCCCACATGCATCTCCTCATCTTCCTCGAGCCAGAGTACAAGATACGCACTGCAGAGCAGGTCGACTCCTCATCTCTGCTCAGATTCCTGACCAGAACCTCCATCCACAACTCTATGAAGCTGTCAGCAAATTCATGCTCCATGGTCCCCTGCACTCCAGAACGTTGCTTGGAGAATGGTCGTTGCAAGAAGCATTATCCTAAGACCTTCTGTCCTCAAACACTCATGAAGGACGATGGCTATCCAGAGTATGCACGACCTGACAATGGCCGCACAGTCCAGAAGCCTAATGGCAATGTCTTCACCAACAAAGATGTTGTTCCTTATCCTCCAAGGCTGTTGGCAGAGTTCGACTGCCATATCAACATGGAGGTCTGTGCGTCCATCAAGTCTGTCAAGTACATCCACAAGTACATCTACAAAGGACACGACCGTGCCACCTTGGAGATGGGAGGAGCAGTGGATGAGGTCAAATCATACCTTGACTCCAGATACATCAGCTCTGTCGAGGCTATGTGGCGCATCTTTGAATTTCAGATGCATGAGGAATGGCCCACTGTCTATCGCTTGCCAGTCCACCTCCCTGATGAGCAGATGGTCGTCTATGATCCTGAGGATGATGCCCAAGATGTTCTGGACCGTGCTGCAGCCAAGGAGACTTGCCTTACTGGATGGTTCATAGCCAATTCTGATGAAGACCTGGTGGCAGCTGGAGCCCACGACTATCTCTACCAAGACTTTCCCTCCCGCTTTGTCTGGGTTGACAGGAAGGCATGGAAGGAACGCCAACGCGGAAAAGCAATTGGAAGGATGTATGCTGCTGGACCCAACTCTGGAGAGCGCTTCTATCTGAGATTGCTTCTGACTGTCGTTCCAGGTGTGTATCATTTGATCCCTCTCATGTCTGCCATTTGCTGACTATTGTTTTTTGAAGGGGCTACCTCCTATGAAAACCTTCGCACTGTTGACGATCATGTCTGTGCTACTTTCAAGGAAGCATGTCAGCTCAGAGGTCTCCTTGATGATGATGGGGAATGGAAGCAATGCTTGAGAGAGGCCTCTCACATGTGCACTGGACATGGCCTGCGAAGTCTTTTTGTCATCATACTCCTCCACTGCCTCCCTACCAACCCTCATCTGCTTTGGAACGACTTCAAGGATAATCTTTGCGATGATCTGCGTCACCGTCTCATTCATCGACTGCACATCCAGGATCCCACTCCAGAGCAGGTCCATGACTATGGTCTCTATCTCATCGATGGTCTTCTTCACAAGAATGCCAAGTCCCTCGAGGTGAACTTCCCTGACATACCTCGCTCTCATATGAACTGGGGGGATAGGGAGGGAAACCAGCTGATAGTCGAGCAACTGGACTATGACCAGGACATTCTCCAGGAAGCTGTGGATAGAGGAGTGCCCACCCTCAACCAGGAGCAGAGACAAGTCTTTGATGCAGTGGTTGAAGATGCCATGAATCGTGATGATCAAACACCTGGACATCCTCACTTTGTGCACAGTGCAGGTGGATGTGGCAAGACATATCTCTGCAACCTCATTGCTTCCAAACTGCGTGCTGAGGGCAAGATTGTTCTCTGTGTGGCTTCCTCTGGAATTGCTTCTCTCCTTCTGCCAGGTGGACGAACAGCTCATTCGCGTTTCAAGCTCCCCATCCCCATCCATGAGGACAGCACCTGCAACATCAAGAAGGGCGATCCTGTCCATGAGCTTCTGAAGCGCACCTCTCTGATCATCTGTGATGAGATACCAATGCTCCACCGTCACAACCTGGAAGCCTTGGACCGTACCTTGCGCGATCTTCTTGGTGTTGATGCCGACTTTGGAGGAATTACTGTGCTGTTTGGAGGAGACTTCAGACAGACCCTGCCAGTGGTTCCTCATGGATCCAGGGAGCAGATTGTCAGTGCCACCTTTTGCAGATCTCGCCTCTGGCCAAGACTTCGCATCTTCCACCTCAAGACAAACATGCGTCTTGGTCAAGATCCTGCATCTGATCAATTTGCTGCATGGCTCCTTGAGATTGGGGGTGGTATGGGCACAGATGGAGATGGCACAGTGACTCTGCCAGAAGGAATGCAATGTCCCAACAATGACATCCCATCCCTGATCAACAAACTTTACTCTGATGTCCTCCAACCCAATCATCCTCCCTTGCCTGACTCCTACTTCCTGGACCGCACTATCCTCTCTGCAAAAAACACTGATGTGGACGAGATCAACACCTCAATTCTCGACTCATTTGCTGGAGACAAGAAGTTGTTCACAAGTGCAGACTCAGTGACAGACAGGGAATACGAATACATCCCTCAAGAGTTCCTTCACACTCTCAACCCATCAGGGTTCCCTCTGCACAAACTGGAGGTGAAGAAAGGAGTGCCTTTGATGCTCCTGCGCAACTTGGACCCCACACAGGGACTGTATAATGGGACTCGGATGATCCTGGTGGATTGGAACACAAGGATTCTCAAGTGTCGAATTCTCAAAGAGGGCAACAATCAAGTGGATGGTCAAGATGAAGCCACTGTGCTGATTCCTCGGATGAACATGGAGGCCAGTGATGAAGAGAACCCCATTCCTCTGAAGCGTCGACAATTCCCTGTGCGACTTGCATTTGCCATGACTATCAACAAGGCTCAAGGTCAGAGTGTCAAGTGGGTTGGTCTAAATTTGAGGACACCTGTGTTCAGTCATGGACAGCTGTATGTGGGTTTGTCTCGGTGCACTCACCCATCAAGAGTATTTGTGATTTTCCCTGAAGATGAAGAAGAGAGAAAGACAAGCAATATAGTGTACACAGAGGTGGTTAGAAGACTGATTGAAGATTGATGTACAACAGATTGTATAAATGTGTATTTGTATATGACAAAGATTTATTTATTGAAATTGTGTTGAAATGATAAAGACTGGAGGGGCCAACGGCCCCTCCAGCAGAGCACGAAGTGCTCTGCTTGCTTCCTGTGCCGAAGGCACAACGGGCTTGGACTCGTCTATAAAGTAAGGGAGAAGGGTGTGGGAACGTCTCTAAAAAGCAAGGGAGAAGGGTGTGGGAACGCAGCCACCCACACATGGATGCCACGTTTCGTCGCATGGACGCCATGTTTTTTCGCTAAGGTCGCTGAAAAGAGCGATGCCATGTGGTTCTGTCAAGCGGAGTTTCAATTTCCGAAAACCGTCGTCCGTTACTATACCGTCCGAATTGGGTCATATGTACATTTCGCTTGATTTGGCAACCTCACGTGGTTTTTTTTTTTCAGCACCGACTGCACCAGACGCGACGCAACGCAACACAACACTGCTCTACCATTCCAGCAGCTCCCAATCACCTGCCGTCGCTTCTGATCACCTGCCATCACCTCTCACCATCAGCTATCAAATCCTGCTGCCTCTCAGTGCCCTCAACACTTCACCATGGCCATTTCCAGCACTTCCCCAGCACCTGATACTGGCTCGGACGCGTTTTTGGCCGCGTCACGTGACGCGGAGCTCCCTGTCACACCGGGTCACGTCACCATGTGAGTTTTTCGGTGTCTGTTTTTGTCTGATCACACAATTTACAGCAGCTATTCCCAGTGCTTCCTCAGCACCTGATGCTGGCTCGGGTGCATTATCACGTGACACTCCGGTCATGCTGGGTCGTGTCACGAGGTGAGTTTTTCTCTCTCTCTCTTTGTCTGATTGTGTATTTATGGTAGCTACAAGGCAGGAGCCCAGACCTACTGTCGACTGGAATGCCAGGCTTCTGCAGGGCTTTGATGCAAGTTTTGCTGCCCGCCTGCAGCAACGTCATCGCCAGCCTGTCAACATGCTGGCCCCACCTCCCACCTCCACAACTCCTTCAGTACCCCCTCCTTCTGAGTTGTCGGCACCTGCTGTGACTGACTGGTCTGCTGAACTCTGTCGCCGCTGGTCCGAGAGTCACATCACGCGTCTTGAACGGAGACGACTCAACAACCCGTATGCTAAGGTCACCACTTGGCAAGAGAATCGCAATGCTATGGATCAGACAATCCATGACCTCCGACGATATAACGTGAAGTTGGCAAAGGACATCATGTGGTGGGAAGAGCAACATGAGCAAGACCTCAAGAATGATGATAGGGATGTGGATACCTTCTGCTCTCAGTTGGAGGAGGTACGTAAGCATCAAAAGCATCGCAGGGTGGTGGATGCTTGGCGAAAGCACCTCTTTGAGCAGAAGAAGGGAAAAAGTCGGGAGGAGCGTCGGCATTTGGATGAGCTACGCAGGGAGGGCCCTCCACCTGGCTGGGAGCCTTCTGAATAGTTTTTTGTGTTAGAGTTGTTCCTATAATATGATTTGATTTCTGATTGGATGGGAGTGATGTATGAAATGGGTGATGTGACATTATTGGAGTGGTGGGAGGATGGGAAATGAGAGATGGGAGATGGGAGATGGGAGATGGGAGATGGGAGATGGGAGACGGGAGATGGGAGATGGGAGATGGGAGACAGGAGACAGGAGACAGGAGATGGGACACGGGACACGGGACACGGGACACGGGACACGGGACACGGGACACGGGACACGGGACATGGGACATGGGACAAGATAATTGGGAGGAAGTGTATGAGTCAATAGCATGACACAAACAGTTTGACTGAAGGTTACCTGGGACACTGGCTTGCATCCCACTGGCCAAGGCACGAGGCCACGGGATTGCAAGCCAGTGTCCCAGGTAACCTTCAGTCAAACTGTTTGTGCAACATCCCATAACTAAAACAAAACTATATAATGTAAGAAATTATTGATTTGTTATAATTAAATAATATGTAGACACATTGAGGCAAGGCACCAAAGGTGCCTCCAGCAGAGCACTTTGTGCTCTGTCTGCTTCCTGTGCCGAAGGCACAACGGGCTTGGACTCGTCTAAGAAGAAAGGGAGACTGGTTTTGTGGCTGTGTGTGGGAGACGCGTATCTCGCCAACGCCGCTTATTTCGCCAAAGGCCACATGGTTTGCGCTTACCTCGCTAAAACCTCGATTTAGAAATTTCGCGTGGTTCTGTCAATCGGAGTTTCAATTTCAAAAAAACCGTTCTCCCTTACTGTCCAAAATTGGTTAAGCCACAACAAGGGGAGGAACACCAAGCAAATAGAAAAATGTGAAAACAACAATGATGTATATATGTACTGTAATTCTGTATACATAAAAATGCGAAAATATAAAGATAGGAAAAATGGGCAATGGGTAAACATGGGAATGGGAAGGTGGAGAATGGAGAAATGGGAGGAGGAGGACAGGAGGATGGGAGAATGGGAGAACAGGAGAACGGGAGAACAGGAGATAGGAAAGCAGAAAATAGGACAGAGACACGGGAGAATTTTTTGGGAAGGGCAAGAGTCAACAGCAAGACACAAACAGTGAGACTGAAGTTTACCTGGGACACTGGCTTGCAATCCCGCTGGCCGAGGTACGAGGCCACGGGATTGCAAGCCAGTGTCCCAGGTAAACTTCAGTCTCACTGTTTGTGTCTTGCTGTTGACTCTTGCCCTTCCCAAAAAATTCTCCCGTGTCCTCTGTCCTCAGAATTAAAATAAAAGTATATAGTATTTTGTAAATGTAATATGTAGACATGTGCCGAAGGCACAACGGGTGTGGGCTAGTGTCCATTATCGAACGTTGGAATAAGTAACGGTGAGCACTGAGGGAACGTGAGGTTAGGTGAACTAATGGTAACAGTTCTATATTTGAAGAAGGAGAAGTATACGCTTTACTTGGTAGCAGTCCAATTGTGTCAGTAGGGAATTTTTCGATTTGTGGGCGTTTGTGGGTGTTGCCGCACTTGCGACACCTTCTAGAACCGCCAAATACTGTTTTCTTCAGTCCTCTTGTTCTGAAGGCTGCGGTATTGTTCAGTTCCTCAATTTCGCCGCGAGGGAAACTCAACGCCAGACACTTGCGCTACCTTCCTGGCATTCCTCGCAGATTTAGAAATATGGGGCATTGAGAAGTTAGAGGTGCGTACTAGCTGCCCATCGATGTACTGGAATAACAGATCATTAAAAGCTACCAGGGCTACCAATTATGGCTTCATTGCGAAAATCTTTTCTCCTTCACAAGAACAGGTCACCGCCGACGCAGAGAGCGTCTTGACTGCCAACGTAGATTCATTGACTTACCAGGAGCGATCGTCTTTCGCGGATGAATACTCCAGGATGGGCTTGCGATCTCCACTAGTAGTACTCTTGCAGCCCAGCGAACTGCCTCGCAGGTTTCGCAGGTATGTGTATCTCATTTTGACTTGCAAGTCCAATAACCTCACAGTAATATCCACAGCCCAGGCTCGTCCATATACACAACGGGCTCACGCAGACTGCATGACATTCGAAAAAACGACGTACGTTTTGTTACCCACATCAAATATTGACACAGAGCAGGCGACTGGAGCGAGCCATATTTCAGAACATGCTGGTACTTCATACTGACTCGGATCAGTCCTCTAGCAAATGTACTTCGGCCCCAGCACGGTAGTGGGTAGCACCACCTTTAACATCCGGTCTCCGCATAATCTATACCAGTGAGATAGGTCGTTCAATCCACGGAGCTTAGTATAAGCCTTGCACCCGGCAATGCCAGCGTGGACAGTATTATGGTAGCATTAGCGGCCACTATGTAGCGGGCAGTTCTGCATATGATATTAGATGCGAGTGGAGTACTAGTTTTCAGAATCCCCTTGTTTTCTCGACGTTGTTTTAGGGGAGCGCCACAGCCGACAGGCAACTGCGTGTATATTACATAGTAGAAACAAATGTGTTTCCATATGAGAGCTGTCTTCGGAATAATATTCCACGGTACCACATGCTCAGATTGTGCTCAGATCTGGCGAACTTCTCGTACAGCTTTGTTGTCCACAGTCACGAAGGCAACAGATGAGATATTCCTGTGGGCCCATTCCAGCATAAATATGCTATGTTCAACGATACCAATGGCTCCGCACGGTTCGGTTCAGCATGCTTCGGTCACTCCTTGGATTCACCACCAAGCCCCACGGTCATGAAGACGCAGAGAAGGAACTCACTGAAGTCATAGACCTTCTCTCCAAATACCCTCGGTGTCTTGCAGAGATCGACAAGAGCGAGTTCAAGAGTGAATATGACAGGCACGTCTTTTATGTCGGGTTATCCCTTTTCATCGATGATAATGGCTTCTGCAGACTGCAGCGCGAAATGTGTTTGTACAAAGCAGGGGGCTCAACAGCAAACCCAAGGAACGCGGATATAATTTTGAATGACTGCAGAGCCCTCAAATGCAAAGTTAAAGTTACGATCCTGCTTCTCTTTTTTGCAGATCTGTGCTGATACTATCGATTTGCAGAAGACGATTGATGATCGTGCAGCGGCTGCTGTGAGAGCAGAAATTTCAGCTCCCACAGGCGCAGGTGATGCCCATCGGATCGCACCACAAGAATCGAAAACACCATCACCTTTAGCACCAGCCAGAGATGCATCACATATAAAACCTAGCAACTCAAATCAACCACCAAAAGTCGAAACCAAAACATCACTTCCCACAATATCTGCAAAGACGTTGACCACTGCTAAGGCTTGTCTCGAACCTCAGCCAAGCGTCCTGGCATCGACCAATCCTCGTGATGGCCTTCCTAAAAGTGCGGGACCTTGCGTTCCGAAAGTTAAATCCTAACCATTTCTAAGTAGGACATCGTATTCCCGTGCAAGTTAACTTGAGGCAAGCATTTTCCCAAGTTACGTCGGGAATCTCGTATGAAGTGGACTCAATGGTCATGGTGGGCGCAAGTGTGAGGTGCCCGACTCTGAATATCGACTCCCCAGATAGCACCGGTGCTAGTACGAATTTTGATCGTCTCTTTGACAGCATTGATAACCCCAACCACAGCGATCATCTCGCACGGGCCCCAGGTTGTTCAGCAGGCACCGCAGCCCGCTCGCCCTCGGCGAGCTACTGGTAGGCGTGCACGACAGCAACCCGGTAACTTCATGGGCTTCGTGAATGGAGCGTATGCGAGCCATGGTTCCATCATATGTCAAGGTTCCAGCGTGACGGGTGCTACATTGAATGTTAACACCAGAAATTCCTCTGGGGCTGGTCAGTACTTTCTGTCTAACCAAATGTCGAACCAGCTGAAAACAGCGTTGCACAAACGACAGTTTTCCATCGTGATGTTCATCCCACGAGAGCTTGATAAATTGGTACAGAAGAGGGGTTCAAGGGGATAATCAACCTATATGGAGAGCACCAAAGATACGGTGTGGATCTATATGTTGAAACATTAGAACTAATATCCAGATATTTTGTCCTGGACAATGGCATAGAATCTTTACAATCGACTTTCGTTTGAGTTGTCGCAAAGTATGTAGTGGCTTGCTCTAATACTCTAACATTGCCGAAACATTCTAGTATATAATAAATTCAATCTGGGTACATCGGCGAAGGGCCTTGTCGTATAAGCAGCTCGAGCTGATTCTCCCAACTGTTTAGTAAAAGACGACACCGGTGATTGGCAGTCGGCACGATGGTCAGGTCTAATCAAAATAACGTAGTTATGCTATTAAATTATATCGCACATCAAGTGACGCGAAAGGACAAGATTGCCCTCTGTTCCCACGTGAATGCATCGACCATCCGTGACATCGTGTCGTCAATGTCATCATTCTCCTTGACGTGGGACGATGCGAAGATCCTTACGCGACGAAGCTGCACTGGTGAGTTTAATACCAGTGTTTCTGATGCACATTCTTCTGTGCGATAATCACCTAGATTTGAATCACTGTCGGTAACGAGCCTTAGTAACACCATTTGGTATTAACAAGTGCTGGTGGATCATGAATATTTGAATGCGGTCGGATCGATGAATGCTATGTACTGTACTCACCCATCACGCGAGCGGCGAGCGACGAGGCAGCGCCATTGATGTGGGTACAGGTGTGGGCTCTGGTGGGGTATGAATAACGTTCTTAAAACAAAGTCGCTGCTGTCAGAACCCTTGCACATCGACACCGCTTATGATTCATTACTTACTGCGTGGGTTCTAATAGGTCCTAACCACAAGGCGGGGACTAATTATTTTGTAACGTAGAGTCATATCCGCGCGTCACTGAGCATGAGCACCGGTACCTCGGACACCTTTTCATACGGGCCAACAGGGGACAAGAACTCACAGCCTCACGTTGAACGAGTTCCTTTTGGTGATTTTTGGCTGGAAATTTCTATCTTCGGGCCAATAAGTACATGCGACCCCCCCCCTCATTCCAAACTCCGCGAATAGCCATAATATGTTCGGAAGTCGTAATGATCTCAGCTCTCTCTCCGCGCTGCAGGTAAAAAAACAACATAGGACATACTAATCCTCAGTATCTACTGTTTTGAATCGAGAAGAGACTTCAGCGCACGCAGAATGAATACAGCTAGATCGTGAATGACCCGGATTTGGACATGTCAAGTCGCACCCCCGCACATCATAGATTTCGGGATACATCTAAGAGTAGCAATGTTCTAGATGTACATATGTGCAACACCGCTAAGGTATGTCACATTACTGAAAGCGAGGTACGGCTGGTGCACGCTTGACGATGAGTCCTATCCGTCGTCTCCAATGGGTAGCACCACGATACAGAATTTCGAAAAGACCTTCGTCTCTCGCAGGGACCCGAGAGCGTAGTTTCCATGTGCTGAGCTGCTGTCGAATTAAGTCAAAACGCTCGACTACCACGTTCATCGTAGGTCTTGCGTTGGGATCATTCTGAACCATGTCGTCGATGAGAGGTTTCAAAAACTCAAACCCTGTTTTGGTCTTGTTCGTGGTGATAAGCAATCGACCAAAGGAATGTCGTGGAAATACTTACGCTCATAAACTCTTCTCTAATGACGTTGCCGAGATAGTAGACATCGGTGGGGAATGGATTCAGAGGGACATCTGCATTGTTTTGGAATTCTGGCACTGATTTGTCACCACCAAAGATCGGATACTCCAGGGGAGTGGTTTCGCGAGGATCGTATCGACGTGATAAGCCGAAGTCGATAAAGTAGTATTTTGGTGGTCGCTTCATGCGAGTATAATGCCTCGCGCGCCCACTGAAGTCACGCTTCATGCGATGCACAACAGGATGATAGGGCTCAACATAGAGGTCCTTGGCGTCCATCATTATGTTCATCCTCACGCAGTCACTGACTGTTGGTTAGCGGAGAATGCGTGAAACAGCGCTCTAAAACACCCACCGATGTGCTACATGGTTATTGTGCATGAAGAGTAGACCCTGTGATACCTTGCTGAGATGGTATACGGACACTTGGTGACAGTTGTACTTACTTCGAACAGTTGTCTAAAACACTCCATCACCTCGCCATAGGTGTCAAATCGCGGATGAGCGAAAGGAAGCAACAGCGGCATAACAATCAATTGTCTATCTTCGTCGCTCGGTGGTGACAACACCTCAAGAAACGGAACACAATGGTTTTTGGGATGGGACGCAAGTGGTTCCGACATAAAGCATTGCCCAACCTCCACCTCGTGAGGGTGTTGCGACTTCTTCACAATTTTGAGAGAAACATATAAGCCATCGGATATACGCGTTGCATCCAGGACTTGGCCAAACTATGCATCCATCAGCCAACAAAGGATGAAGTATTTAAATGTCTCTTACTCGCACAGAGTGTCCATCTTCGCAAGCAAATGGATTGCGCTGGGTACCCTCCCAGGATGGCACCCAATCCGGGGCATACCGAGAACGAAGTAAATACCCTTGACTCTTCAACCATAGGTATTGTTGGCACCACCAAGTTTCATTTGCAGCTAAAGCTCCAGGCCTGCGATCGCGTTCTTGTCCGAAAAGTTCGAGCTCCTTGCGGGCTCTGCGTCTCTGAATTTCGGCCGCCTCTTCGGCCTTGAGCTCGGCCTTCGTCTTCGTAGAGCTCTTGCCTCTCGAAAAAGTCGCCGTCTTCATGATGGGAGGGGGTTTGGGGCGTTACTTGTGTAAGGCGATGGACGGCAGATCACAGCATAAACAAGTGTACACATGGACCCACTATCAAACAGGTGGGAACAGTACTTGCAGAAGTAGAGTGGCTCAATGTAATTATGTAATTATGTACTTACGTCTCCTGCAGTTGACCCCCAGTTACTGTGCTACTTAGTATTTCCCATATCCAGGTAATTGACTATTCCCTCAGACTACTCTCATTTCCACGACGTCTCGCCTTTGCACATATACATAAGACCTTGTTATGGCTCCTGATTTGATGCCTCTCATACCATGTCCTCCGACCAAGAACGCCAAACCGTTTTCATTCCTCTGAAACTTGGCTCCGCTTCTCAATATGATCGAAATATCTTCCCTCTCATGAGAATGAAACGCCTAGACCAAGTGGATATAGTTCTTGAAGCTACGATGGATGAATTATACAAGATACGTGAAATGGCGGGGAATCCGACAGAGTTAGAAACTATCTTTCAGACTTCCAAGAACCAATACGATACGTATGCTCGTATGTATACATGACATTGGCATACTACTAACCAACAATGAAGGTTGTTGTCACAAAAAGAACAGCTGCATAAACAAAAGAAGTCCTTCAATCCTATGAAACTCCTCTCAGCATATCGTTCGGTTCGACTGCTCACAGCAGCATGTGGAGACTTGTATAGGGACACCAGGGTATGGTGGTATTACCTTGATTGTTCGCCGCATACCCTCATACAGTTTGCCAGAGCGCATCTGAAATGATGAGGAGGCGGCTGCTTTCTGTAAATACACAAGATGCCCAACGAGTTGATTGTCTGTTCCAAATCTTGTGCCCCTAGAGTCCACAGCTCACGAGTCACAACCTTATTCAGATGACGACGTGCCACCTGATGCTCTCATTAGCGGTATCGCCATTCCACTGGAATCGCAATTAGATGAATCCACGGCTACGTTCTTCAGTGAAGCGGCCGAGTTCATTGGTTCTCAGGTTAATCTCCTTCCTGATGGTAATCCTTTTGCCGATGATCACGAAGTGGAAGAGTGTAAGACCCAGATCACATCTCCTGATAGCCTGTATGCTGATAATTTTATCAGCCCGAACTAGTGCAGATCTTGAACACGATACAACCATTGATTCTGGAACAGACGATAGTGGAGGCACATCATCAGCAAGCTCTCGTTTCTCTGGAGCATCCTCGTCTAGCTCTCCATCCTTGGGGCAGGGATCTGGCAATAACATTTTCATCTTTAATAATAGCTACGTTGCTTCGAGATCGGCCATTCAAACGCCGACTCTTAACCATGGTGGATCGCATAATCAAGGATCATGTTCGTCCTTTAATTCTATTGCTATAATGCTATGTGTTTAAATCACACGCCTTAGCTCGCCGTTGACGCTAGCGATTGTAAATCGAAGATTGTTTGTATACAACAACGTCCCAAATCACCATTAAAAAATACCCAAGTCGTCGTGGTAGTGCTGACTTGCGGCGACTTTCGTCGGGGATACGATACGCCGCTACTAGAAGTTCTGTGACACGCCGTATGCGAGTTGTTCTCTCAGTCACTTGCGAGAAATTCTACACCTTACAACCAAGGATAGTTATTTGCTCTGCTTTTTCATGCTCCGCGACATTCAGAATCTCTCCGCGTCGCTTCGCTTATCAAGATCATACTTACCAGGAGTGCTCATCCGACGCAAATATCAAGGACCCAGCGACGAACGAATTTAATTGGTTGACTACGCTACTGATGCAACCCAGGCACTGCTACGTATAGTAAGAACCTCACCAGCTCATGGATGGAATAAAGAAAATGGTACTTACTATGAGCGGGGCGTTGGTCGGATTAGCACTCCATTATCTGCGAAACAGAACCACCGGTGGTACGATATCATAAGGAGCGGAACGTTGACTGGACTAGTACACCGCTATCTGCAAGAAGACAGAATCGCCGGTGATACAACATCGAGGAAGAGATGAAGAGGCCGCGAGAAAAACACTCCAGCTCTCAACTGCTCATTGTTTCCAGGCACGAGACTGGAATGGACGGTGGAAAAACTTGTACAAGCTCGACGATCAAGCAGACCCAGACTTAGAGTACTTCGAGTGGGATGGTTCAGTGCCTGTGAAGATTGGAGGTTACATAATCTTGGTTGCAAGACGTAAACGTTCCGCAGGATTCAACTTACCGCATGTGAGCCCCTCGACAATTTGCTCGATGCGCCTGCAAAGCAACATCGTGCATAGAGGAACGCTTGTCAGGTTTCGTCCGAGCCACGTCTTTGATCAATAATTGAAGGAATCTGAACCTAGGGTACCTACTAGGCCTGCACCATTACGGCGAAAGTATTTCCCTTCAAGAGTCCGCACACGTCCGAAGGGAAAGAATCGCAATCCTTTGCTGGAATAGCACCTCCGAAGTATTGGGATCTGTGGAACTACAGGCCCGCTAAAACCCGAGATCGAATACAACACCGAGTACTCGTCCTGTCAGATAAGATCGCGCCTCTTATCAAATCGCAGGGGCGGCAGCCATCTATAGAAACATGAATTGATGATGTTAAGAGACAGACATCCAACGACTCCAAGTGATGACTCACACGCGACAAGGTGATTGGCCTGTGGACAGCGCGACATCCATGCAAGGTCTTCCATTTCGTTGGTTGTGTGCAGCCACGCGCAACAACCTCAAACATGTCGAAATGAGCAAGCGTTCAGTGGCTCAGATATGCGTGTGCTAGTGATCGAGCTTCGAGGTATGAACTGATCATGAAGCTAGGAAGACATTACGCTTACCCACGACAACAAGTCATCTTGGATGTTGACCCCTGAGGGATCATACATACCAGTGGTTCTTCTGAGCGGCAATCTAGCCTGGACACATCGAGTCGAGGCATGCGGTCACGCCCCAGTAGTAGTGATATCTCCATTCTTCTGTAGCTGTGGTTTGAATCTATGAGTGGAGGATCGGGCAGAAGACTACATCCTCGTTTCAAGGGCGTGAAGCTATGCTACAGCCTAGCCCCTTTACATATCATGAAGAACATACGTCAAGGCAACTGACAGACAGTGACAATTCTGTTACGAGTATGATCGATCGTCATCTTTTGTTCGAGCGTTCGAGCTGCTGGACGACCTCGATCAGGACTTCGTGGTCTGGTCGGGTGTATCGCAGTTATTACAGTAACGAGTTGGCAGTTGCTGAACACCGTATCCGCTCAATATTGGAGTTTTTGGGAGGTTTAGACCGATCTCTTCGTCGGCCGTTTAAATCGTAAGTCAATTTATATGTGTGCCAACTATAGATACGGACATGGAGAAACGACGCGTTACTGATCTATTGCGATCTAAGACGCGAGGATATAAATGGATTGATCCACCACTGGGACTTCGACGGATCGTTTTGCATTGATAACCGGAGAAGGAGAGGGAGTACATCCTCGGGAACTATGAATACAGCATTCGACTAGCCATCTCAAATCCGAGGAACGTTGCCCCATTCGCGAATGGTGAACTGGTGAGAAGTGAGCTGGTGAAACATTTATGAGGGCCGAAAAACGTACCGAATTAAAGTGGGCCCCAGACCACGTGTAAATGCACTAATTCCCTCGGTCCTCCAAACCTTGCGCACACAATCCCGTGCCGAAGCATATTTTTGTCCAGTAGAAGGGCTAAATCCGTCAGTCTGCATTCTAGATTTGATCATGTCTATAGGGTATATGACTGCCCAAAGCTGTCGCGGAATTAGCTCAATGTCCATTCTCCTAGGAAGACGAGATTCAACTTACGGCGTATCCAGCGGTTGCACCGTAGAGAATGGGGTTCAAAAAGTTAATCTGGTCCCGGCGTATGCCCTTCTGCGTCATTTCCCGCTGTATAAGTTTTTCGTACACCAAGAAGTAGACACCGTAGCCTGTCGCTTCACGTAGGAAGGTGACACACTGTCCTTTGAACAGTCCGGCGATGCCATGTTGTGAGGCAATTTTCTTCATTGCGTTAAATGGACCTTTGTATGTCGGGTTCGTATTTGACTGCGTTTGCAGACCTAAAGAAGAGGTGATGTGCTGAATGCTAGTCATACAAAAGTGACTCACGAATGCGAATATGTTCCACTGGACCAGATACTATACCGTTAGCAAGCCCTGCCGCTACTCCAGCAATGACCAACTGCCCCCCGCCAAGCATCTTTCCTTCTTCCCCGCCTTCACCTCTAGCTAAATTCTGAGCTGTAAACACCCGCTTTGCATATTCGAGTACTCCGAATTGTATTGATACGCAGACACCAATTCCCAGCAATGGTGTCAATGTGCCCTAACAGAATGTGAGCTAGCGCAGCGTAGAGTGACAAGAGCAAAACCTTATAGAACGCCAGAGGCCCTTCGTTCTTCAAGATACCGCCAGCGCAATGCAGCATGCCGTTGTAAGTGCCCTTGGCTGAGGTTTGCATGCGCTGAGGGAGAGTCATTGTGGGTAAGCAAGTATCCTTGCTTAGATCTTATAGCCACTCTCACCACTTTCACGATATCGAAAGGTTGCCCGACAAGGACCTAACACGCGAACTGAGTCAACACGTTGCACCAGTGAGCCTATTTCATACACACCTGAGCTATCCCTCCAGCCGTTCCGGCCGCCAGGTCCTTGATCGCGTTCGACATTTGCGTTTGGCTGGTAAATTTGTGAGTTTGAGAAGGTGGAACTTAAGCTTGAGCTTAAAACAACCAGCTGGCAGTTACAATTGCGGAGTTTCACCGAGCAAAAGAATACTTGCTGACTACTAACGGATGTATGTAACTCGATTTGCACCTCGCTAGCTCATTGCCACGACTATGATACGTAGTCTCAATAAGTCATACAAGACGGACGGTTGGCAACGTTGAAGAGGTTCAGTATCGGCCAAGTACCGGTCCGTACCGACCAACTGGATCATCATAATCTTTTAATAACTGTGACCGCAGCTCCCACTAACCATCTCGTCTGAGTACTAGTACTCATGGCTGAACCTAGATCTAACAATATCGACGCGACAGAAAACTCGACCACTCAGCACATTGAAGATAAGGAGGCAGATGAATGGGTTGAAGAGGACGAAAATTATGACGACGATGACTACGAAGACGGAGAGGAAGAAGCAGAGGAAATTGCGCGTCGGTTGAAGGAACAACTATGGGCGGACATTAGCAAAGCGCAGGCAGACCGCGTCAATGTCACCGCGACGTCATCAACTCTTGCACCCCTACATGAGGGTGCTCCGTCTGCGGTTCCTTCTCCAGTTCCGATCACACACCCGCGTCCCCAATCGTCTGTGTCATCCAAGAAGGAAGAAGCCGCATTAAAGACAATGACGAACGTGCTGAACATTGCAGGAAAGGATCCTCTAGTTCACTCAACTCTGGCATCTGCAATTGTTCCTGGTGCAGGCACTAGCGTTCTGGAAATCCTAAGTCGCACCGTTGCCGCCGGGACAATTTCCAAAGACCTTGCAAAATCGCTCAGCCTGACTCTTGTATCTCTGGCTCGCTCCGACGCTCTCTTTGCCGCACTGCGTCATTCTAATGCGCCTGCACTGCAGCTAGACAAGGGCAAGAGGAAACGCGACGAGACCGAAGAAGAGCGGCAGAGGAACGAGTCACGAGCCTTTAAACGGCCAACTTTTGCACATGGACATTTGCAGAGCCAGATAACAGACGCAGTTCGCGTCGTATCAGAAACTCTTGCCTCCCATCCACCTTCCAGCGGCCCACCAGATCCGTCGATCATATCCTCAATCCAGCTACAGTTACATCAAATATTTCTTTTTGCGGTCACCTCTTCTGCAAGGGGAGGACCTGAGACGAACGCTTTACAAGAGATCAGTGGACTCATTCAGGTGGTTGGAGTCCTGAGTGGTAGTCCTATTGGCCCCACCGCGGTCCCACCGAATGCCCCGATGCCAAATATTCAACCCACTGGCGGATCGATGTATCCTCCCCGCCCATGGATACCGCCAGGAACAGGCCCTCATCCCGTCCCTTTTAGCGACATTGGCACTGCAGTATACCCCTGCCTAGTGTTAGGTTGCCGCAAGATTTTCGCGCGGCTTTTTAACCTACGAGCGCACCAACAAGTGCACGCAGTGCATAGGCCGTATCGTTGCGTTGCATGTCCCGCCTCGTTTGCCCGAAATCATGACCTAAAACGCCATGCCAAACTACACGACAAGACGGGATACCAGTGTGCCGGCTGCTACAAGCTATTCTCGCGGCGTGATGCAATCAAGAGGCACAAAAACAGCAGCGCAGCCCGTGGTGGCAAAGGGGAGGCATGCGTCAACGCAGCGATCAAAGAAGTTGAACTGGACAAGGAGGGCGGGGAAGAGGCTCTGCGGGAAGGTCGACGGACACGGATGTGGGCTGATATTGTAACCAATTCTGTGGCATCTACAGCAAATTACGGAACATTCGGAGATGATTGGGGTCCAGAGGAAGGCGAAATGGAAGGCGACGTCATCAGCCATGCACAAGGAGCTGTGCTCAGTCTCCACAAGACGTTGCAAGCTCATGTGTCCAGCGCGTTAGGAACAACAGCGGATCATAATATTCCCCCAATGCATGTTGATCCGACCGGAGGCC